TTGCGTTACGGAAGTACGAGCCTAAAGCGTGCTATGGTGAGCGCAACATACTCGAAGCCAGCCGGAATATTTTTCGGAGGTGTCGAGTTGCAGCCGAGTCATCGGCTATTGGCCGATTTCTTCAAGAGAAAGTTTGCAGGAGTGAAAGGTCGGAGTGTAACATGGGTTGATGTTCACACGGGCCTTGGCCCGAAGGGTGTGGATGTGTTGATGTGCGTCCCATCCGACAGAGAGACAGCCAAGCAATGTTTCTGTGGTGCAGATGTCCAATGCATTGGAGAAGGAGGTCAAATTGCTGGGAGTCAAGCTGATGGGTATGAACATGTCCGTGGAACCATGAAAACGTTTTATGGCCAGCTTTTCGATGGCTCAGAGGGAGACTCTTTCATCATGACGCAGGAGTTTGGCACGAAACCGGGTGTCTTTGTCGCTTGGAGCATGATTGTCGAGAACCGGGGCTTTCATTACGACTTTGAGAACCATGTTTACTGGAGCAAGTTCACGCGCGATGCGTTCTACATCAGGGAGCCATCATGGAAAGCAAGCGTCATGAAGCGTGGTAAGATCGTTTTCCAGCAGCAGGCAAGCCTCGGGCTTCAGAGGGCGAACCCTTAGAATCGACTGCACGTGGGAGTGACCCTTCGCTGGAATGACCTTTGGTGCGGGCCCACTGGGGCCCCCCGATCGCCGACCGCGATGCGGTTCTAGCGTCTCGCGCGCCTGTGTCTGTCGGCGGCGAGCGAGGGGGGGGAAGTGAGAAGTGGCGGGCCTCCTCAGAAGGCTCGGGAGGCCCCCGGCCGTCTGAGAAGTGTTCTGAGCCAATCCCCGAGGACGTAATAAAAGGCTTCTCAAGGAGGCGCGAGGGCTTCTGCGAAGTCCCCCAGCTCTCTGAGAGGGCCTTCCCCTTCTCATTTTCCCCCCTCGCTCACCGCCGAGTGTGGCCCCCCCGCGGCCTCCCAAGAAGCCGTGCACCGAGGGGGCGCACTTGCGTGCAGCCGTCTTAGAGAGGCATCAGAAGAAAGCACGGGCCGCGTCTCGGCAGGCCCGCGGCCCGGAACAAAAAAAACAAAGGGAGGGCACCGTGGTTTCTCTTCGCGAAGCAACGCAAGGGATGGGCCGTCCTCCTCCTCGCTTCTCCTCTTCGCTCCTCCTCCTCCTCCTCCTCGCTCCTCCTCGCTCCTCCTCCTCCTCCCCCTCCTCCTCCCTCCTCCTCCTCCTCCTCCTCCTCCTCCTCCTCCTCCTCCTCCTCCTCCTCCTCCTCCTCCTCGTCGCTCCTCCCTCCTCCTCCCTCCTTCTCCTCCTCCTCCTCCTCCTCCTCCTTGTTCCTCCTCCTCCTCCTCCTCCTCCTCCTCCTCCTCCTCCTCCTCCTCCTCCTCCCCCTCATCCACCTGGAGCAAGCAAGCATCATAGTCGTACCTTGGTTTGTCAAGTGCTGGCGCGAGGGGCGGCAGGGGGAGAGCACGCACGAATCTCGGATTCCCCGTCCTGCTTGGCACGTTGCAGAGCTGGGAGACGGCATGCACCCTGCGGTCCGAGTTCTTCAGGTGGCAGCGCATGGGCGCGGAGCAGGACACGTCGGTCGTTGCAAGTAGTAATCTGGGGATTCCCAGGTTCCAGTCTACATGAGGCGCCTTTCTGCTTCAAGGATCGAGTGGTTTCCTTCTTCCCTCCACTTCGGGGGGCGGGCGGATGTCCCAACCTACTTCAGCGCCTTCCCAAAGCATGGTTCCACCTACTTCTTCCCACCGACGTGTACTGGCCCCGCTCATTTGTCACATGGTAGCGCAGGGGGTGGAGAACCTACCAGACTACACCACTCGTCGCAGTGCCACGCAAGACGTACATAGTAGTCTATGGCACCCGTCGCATGACAGCGTTTGGGGGAAGAGCAATTGTACTAGTCTACTCCACCCTGCACTCGGGAACGCACGGGAGGGTGGACCACACATTGTTTTGCTTCTCTCGTAGCAGGGCAACCCAGGGTGGGCGGGGGGAAATTTGGCACGCTATTTCGCCTTGCTCGCCACATGGCGACGCAAGAGCATTAGGATAGTGCGAGTATACTCCTATCTGAGATCTTGGACACGCATGAGGCGGTCAAACAACAAGTCAGCCTGACGTTTTTCATCGCAGAAGGTGGAACAAGCATTCTTATCCGATACGATGAATCGTCTACCCGTGTCACATTGCACCTCATGGGGGCGGTAAACGCAAAACAAAGTATGCCATTACGAACGCGTCTTTATTGCGTGGGGAGTGGGGTAAAACTGAGTTGTCGTGGCGTACTCGTGCCACGGCATTTCACGGGGTCGGAACACACTTAGTCTACTCGCTGATCTTGGGCCAGGGCGTCCGCGCATGATCCAGATGTTGGTGAAGAGTACACGGTCTTGTTTCTTGCTAGGGTTGGTCGGAGGACGTTGACATTGCACAGGGCAGGTAAATGCCGACACCCCCGCCAACCTTGTCAAAAACTATGCAGAGTGATTACGGGGTGCAAACTACATGTTGTATTGCTTTTTGCGAGGGTTGGCGGGGGGGCATCGTCCCGGGGTTTGTTGTCGCTGGTCGGTTGGAGGGGTAGGTATGTTGTATATTGATAAGGAACAGTAGTAATCCCACCCCGAAGAGGAAGAAGGGGATTGGAAAAGGAAGTGTTCTAAACCAGCTGTGCGCTAAAGGGCTGGTGGGACCAGAAGGCCCCAGTGACTCGCACAAAGAGGTGCGTGGGCATGTTACTAGGAACCCTGCAGGTGTACGAGTAGGCCTAGTATTGGCTCTCTCGGGGTACCCCGCGGGTTTACTGACAGGCCTGCACTAGGCTTCTCGTGCGCCGCAGTGGGACGTACTTATACGTGCACTCGTAGCGTTAGTTTGGGATTCTAGACCGCCTCCGTGACTCGTATCAGTTGGCCTACTCGTCGGACCCCCTCTACTGGTAGGCCCACTGTTGCATACAAGCAGACGCGCGTGGAACCCACGTGGCACACTTTTGCGTATTGGTAGCTCCTCCTTCTCCTCCTCCTCTTCCTTCTTGATCTGCTCCTTCTCTTCTTTCTCCTCCTGCTCCTTCTCTCCTTCTCCCCATCTTCCTCCTCTTCATCATCATCATAATCATCATAATCATCATCATCGTCATCATCATCATCAGCATCATCATCATCATCATCCCCTTCCTCCTCCTCCTCCTCCTCCTCTTCCTCCTCCCCCCCCTCCCCCTCCTCCTCCTCCTCCTCCTCCTTCTCCTCCTTGTAATCCTTGTTCTCTTGCTCCTCCTCCTCCTCCTCCTCTTCATCATCGTCGCCCCTCTTCTCCCTCTCCACGGGCGCCCCCCGTGGGCCTCTGCGAGGGGCCACGCGCGCTCCCGCTCCGAGGCAAGAGGACCGCGCGCCTCGCCCGGGCCGCCGCGGCGACCTGCCGCCGAAGCAGACGAGATCCCGACCGCTCGGGGTCGGCGCGCGGCTCTCGCCGGAGGGCACCAACTATACGGCAGGTTTGCGTCGTGTCGACCCGCGGCGACCCCAGCGCGGGCGTTCAAGGTTGAACGCCGCCGGCGACCCAGAATCGATCGATGTTGAACGATCGGACGTTGCGGCAGCGGCCGATCGTTCAAGGTTGAACGATCCCCGCGGTGTCAGGAACCAACGCCGGGGTCGGCACGACACGAACCTGCCGTACACCAACACCGATCCTGGGCCCAGGATCACCCTGGGCCCAGGATCGGTGCATGTGCCTTCCTGCGCAGGGCAGGAGGGCGCATGCACCGATCCTGGGCCCAACTATACACCAACACCGATCCTGGCCCAGGATCACCCCGGGCCCAGGATCGGTGTACATGTGCCTTCTGGCGCAGGGCAGGAGGGCGCGTGCACCGATCCTGGGCCCAGGGTGATCCTGGGCCAGGATCGGTGTTGGTGTATAGTTGGTGCCTTGCTACCTCGCCCTCCCCTGGCCCGCACGCGCGGCGCAGGGCGACGCGGCGAGGGGGAGCGACGGGTCTCTTGCCGGCTGCCTGCGCCGCTCCGCTCCCCCGGGGCCAGTGCCGGCAGCCCCCGGCGCCGGCCCCCAGAGGTCCAACGCATTGACAACAATCGAGACGGAGTTCTTGTTCGCCGTTTTCGGCCTCTATACAGGGGCCCTCGCCAGGCCTCGGGGCCGTCAAGAAACGACTCGGGATGAACACCTTGTGCTGGGGAATGGGTCGAGACTTCCAGGGACCCCCATTGAACAAAAAAACCGCATCGGTCAGAGCCCCGAATCATCAGGGGTAACTCGGGTCAGGGATAACTCGGGTTCGTTTTTCGGGAATCCGAACCCGACTTCCCCCGGACCCGACTTACCCCGGATAGTTCGGGCGTCCAGAGCCCCGAATCATCAGGGGTAACTCGGGTCAGGGCTAACTCGGGTTCTTTTTCGGGAATCCAAACCCGAGTTACCCCGGACCCGAGTTACCCCGGATAACTCGGGCGCCCAAATCGGATCTCTGGGGCTGCACGCAGCCGTGGCCACGGAGTCGGCCCAGCCAGCGCCCCGGGCGTCCTCCGCAGGCCCCGGGCGTCCGGGGGGGCCCCGCACAGGTCCGGCCGCCGGCGGGCGACGGCGCCGTCCAGTGCCCCCGCCTGGGGGGGCAGCTGCACGCAGCGGAGGCATCGGAACTTGCAGACTTCAGAGGAGGAAATGGTACGCATACCTCCACCCCCCCCGCCCGTTTTCCCTTTTTGGGCCTCCTGAGCGGCCCTGGGTTCGCCTCGAAATCCTACTCAGAACGCACCCCGGGAGAGGTCCGGGGAGTAGCGGTATCGGTACCTTTTGGTCTCAGAACTGGCGCCCGGGAGCCCTGCTGCCTTGCCGGTCCAGCGGGGCGCGGCTCCTTCTCCCCCCTTGCCAGCGCCTTTTGGCGGGCCCGTCCTGGGTGTGGGTGGTCCAGTTCTTTTGCGGGGTGCTTGCAGCGGGAGCTCGCGACAGACTTCAGAGATCGGGCCACTCGTCATTTTCCCCCGTCAGGCCAGCCCGAGCCCCCCGAGCCCGAGTCTTACCCAGAGATCCGATGTCGTTATTTGTTTCAATGCGGGGTCCCTGGAAGTCTCGACCCATTCCCTAGCGCAGGCTTTTCATCCTGAGTCGTTTTTGTTGACGGTCCCGAGGCCTGGCGAGGGCCCCTAGAGGCCGAAAACGGCGAAAAACCTCCGTCTTGTTTTTTTCAATACGTTGGATATTTGGCTACGTCTGCCCGATCTGCGGCCGCTTTCTCCTTCTCCTGCCCCTCGCGCGCCCCGCGCCCGCGCGCGCCCTGCCGGTATACCGAGCGTCGCGCGCCCGCGTGCGCGCTTCGCGGCGCCTGCGGGCCGCGGCGGCGCCAGCCGCCGCCCTGCGGCGGTCTGCGAGGTCTCCGTCGGTCGGAGTGGGCAGCTCAGGGGCGACGTCAGGGGGGGCGGAGAGGCTCAGTCGAGGCATCCTCCAGAGCCGCTGAGTCTCAGAGCCCTACCCCTTCCCCCTCAGAAATCGTGGGGGGGATAGGGGTAGGGTTCCCATGTGGCCCCCCATTATCCTCACCCGATTTAATCTCGTTCTGGCTTCGTCGCAGGATACATCTCGAGCCCCCCAGGTCTCCCACTGGTCGTCGACTGGAGGCCCGGCCCGCTGGCCCACCCCCGCCAGGAACGTGCGGTTTGGCTATCGAGGGCCTCTCTGGCCGATCTATCGGCGATGTGCCGCTGCTTCGGGTCGATGTTTCCCACCCTGAGCGGATCCCCCTCCCCCAGCGCTTCCCTCAGACCATCAGAGGCCCAGAAACGGTGTGATGACGAACTGACCTCCTGATGACCTCGAAAACCTCAGGGACTCCACCAGAAGATCTGCGCCGGACGGTTTGGGGCACTTTGGAGGTCCCAGGCAATCGAGGCGTCCCTGGAGAGCGGCCATAGTCCCAGAACTGTTCGGTGACCCGAGTCATCTGTGACTCAGTGGACGGAGTGGTTATCGCCTTGATCGGTGACCCCGAAAGGTTTTATTGACGATGCCCTGGGTGGCGCCTATTCGCGAGTCGTGTTTTCTGGCAC